TCATATGCATATATTGGATTCATTGTATCTGATTCAGTTTTCGAGGAAATCAATGAAATGTGAAAACACTGCTTTTTCGAACGTTCTCATTTCAATTTTTTAAATTTGAAAGCGTATTACAGCAATATGGATAAGAGCACAGGAATGTATCTATACTTTAGCAGATATTTTGAAAATTGCTCACTGCTACTAATATTCGCGCCTCCCCTTAGAAAACACTGTTCTAAACGAAATTAACTTGATTATATCATTAATAAAATTTTACCAATTATTCGAAATTGTTCTTTTATTACGCTGAATCTAACAGGTAATTGATAATTAACAAGTTCTAAAAATTAAGCAATGTATGTATTTCAATATAGTCGGGATTTCGAACGTCGGGATTGTGAGCCAGCCAGGATTTAGAACATCGAGATTTCAAACATCGAGATTTCGGTTGTCGGGCTTGCGATTGCCACCGCATGTTACAGATATACATTGTATTCAATCATGTTCGTATCATCGAATGAACGTTGAGTAAGCACACTCATATGTTTACGTTTCGCCAGTCTTTAACAGATGTCGATATGGTATTTACTGTGAACACTGTTGCACGTGGACAAACCAGCTCACCTCGCCCATGCATATTAATACAACTTACAACTTTTTGAAATCTATAAAACTGTTTAAGAATATAGCAAAAATACGAAGATGTCGGTAAATGCATAACTTTCTCAAGGACAAATATGTATAAACACAGTTTATAAATACACAAATTTAGCATTTTGATATAGATTTTAGTTTTAGTTGAATAATTTCATATTTTTTTAATTTTATTTCACTTTAATTAATAAGCTAATGTTTAAGTATTTTAATTAGAATTATTTAAAATGAACTAAATGTATTTTATGGAAACAGAGGAATTTTTAAAATAATATCAATAGAAATAGTAATCATCATGTTTATTTATACTACAACATTAGAATCACAATATTTGTGAATATTAAATAGATTTTCTTATAACACTAACAATATAACTTAGATCTAACAACAATGTCTTTAATATATATATATGGATTTACTAAAACGACAACAATTACAGCTTAAAGTTTGGTCCTCACTTAGTTGCAATTAATGATCATATACAGTGCCTATTCAATTTCGATCGTATACAAATATTTAAGCTTAAAAGCGATTTTTTCTTAAAAAACATACATATATTATTAAATTGATGCCAATGAAAGTATTGTGTAAAATATGCTCTTTTTTTCCTATCCTGCATGTCCACTTCTTCATAAGTTATAGTTATTTTAGCTTACAAGCTTATTTTATTTAATAATTGAATAACAATAAACACATATATAATTTTATTCCAATAAAATGTTACAACTAGATAATTCACAAATATACATCAATCAATTTTGGTTTCATATAATAAATATATTTTTAATGATATTTTTCTTTTAAAATATTTTGAAGCACAATTATTTTGAGGAAGTTTAATTGTTAGTAGTCTAACATTCTTAGGATTAATAGGAAACATATTTCTTCATCGCAATCCATTTCAAAGTGAATGTCCTGGTACTGTACTGGTGCTGGGACATCGTTGAAATGAAAAGGAATTGTTTAGCATTAAACTCTTACTCAAAAATAAATTATAACAATTAGTTTATGTTATGTGGACTATCTTTGAAAAGTACATTAAATATATATATATGTATTTATATCACTTTCTACTGTGTCTTTGTCTCAATATATTAAATATAGCCTAGAATAAGCCATTTCTTCTTCCATAAAAAAAAAATGAGAGAAAAAAAAACATAAAACGTTATGTAACAAACAATTTTTATTTGGTTTAAATTTAATACAATTCTAGATAAATATTCATCAAAGTAATAATATATTGCACATTGTTTAAAAATTAATGCCAAATCAATCGAAAAAAAAGAAAGAAAATAATAATAATAAAAGATTTATACAAATGGACGCCGAATAATGGGATATGGTTTTTTTTCTATTCTGGTTTACAGAAGACAACGTGGGAGTAACAGAACTGGGGGGGGGCTAATATGAATGGCTTAGGTTTGTTGTCAGAAGTAAAAAAATAAGAATGTACAATTGAAAATAAAGTAGAAATAATAGTATTATTATAATCTTCGTCCATTTTTTAAAATTACGTTTCTCTCATCTATTTTCTCTCCATACAAAAAAAAAATTAATAATAATAAGAACTTAAACGTAGAACAGACTTAAGTAAAATAAAAAGGTGGCATCTTCAAATGAACCTGCTTTCTTCTTTCCATATATTTTTTTTTGTTTTGTTTATAATTTAATGTAACACTGATATTTTTATATTAATATTTAAAGGCTTTTCACATTTTGGGGTTTGGGTTCTCTTTACAATAACTTCTTTTTTTTTGTTGTTTTCTTTGTTTCACATTTTTTTTTTTCGAAGGGGGACATATAAAGTGTGCATACAGTGAGGGTGTTTCATATATTTTGCATCTTGGAAGCCAGCTCATGGGGGGGGGAGGATAAAGGGCTGTAGTAGCGGGGATTCTTTTCGAAGAAAGTAATGTGATTTGGATCTGCTGTTAGTATAGTGTAAATTCAGTATTGGTACATTTCAGAGGAAACGAAAAATAAAATAAAATGAAAAGAAAAAGTTCCTTTAACTTGTCTTTTAATTTTGAAAAAAAAAAAACCTTAACTAATAATCGTTCTTAATTGGTAACAGCTTCAGTTACTTAATTAAATATACGGTTTGCTTCATCTTAGAACAATATTCAATGACTGAAATTTGTTTGAATCGTTTCGATCTTTTGACTAACTGCGTTAAAATAAGTTTAGTAATGAGATAACATACACATAAAGTCCGCTTTAAGTATAGATATAAGGTTTTATACATCATTTTTTGTTTTTTTATTCCATAACAGACTAAAAGTATTAAACAAATGTTTAAAATGTTGCACACAAATATTAAAAAAAAAAATACTTAACATTAGGATAGTTTCCTTAACAAAAAAAAAATAAAAATAAAATAAAATGACTTCTCCTTTCTCCCGCGCTTAACTATATACAAACATTCATCCATATTTCGTGAAAACGGTAGTTCGATACTATTGTTTTGTCTACTTGGTACTCAACATTACAATACTGAGTTTGCACTATGAAAGCCGGATTTTGCTTGTTCTTGTGTTTTTATTTTTGGTAGAATTAGGATTTTTGGGTGATGGATGGGTTGTAGACGAGAAAAGGCACAAGCAGCGGTATCGGGGGATGAGGTCGGAGGCTATGCATCATACCCTGTGAGTACCGCGGCGGCATATTCGGACACAATATGATGACTGAGACATCAAAATATATATTTATGGTGTAGTACACAAAAATTAGATACGTACACAAATATTGTCAGGCACTGTGAGTAAGGCATTTCTACAATATAATAGTTCAGTGGAGATTAGGGTCGATCCGCAGCTACTCGGCACGGGCGGCCCGGACATTCATATATATAAACATTTCTCAATAATTCTTTAAAACTATGTGCAAGGTATGTGCACACAACAGTAGATAAAATATATAATGTATATATCTCTATATATATCTCATTTATAATATGTCATATATATATAATCTTCATCTTTCTTTAAATCTCTTTGTTTGTTTATTTTTTATTTTAATATGCTTTTCTTAATAATTCATTATCAATGGTATATTTTTTATTATTTTTCTTTTTTCTTTGAACGTACTAAATGTGAATGCCCTAAAACTGATGTTGCCTTCCATTTGTGAGGGTTCGAAAAAAGGTGGTCGCGCGGCGGTGGTGGTTGTTTCGTGTCGGTTCGCCACATTCGCAACTTTCCGTCGTATATAAAATTGATTATGGGACTTACATTCATATTTAGCAGAAGTACTCTCTCTGAATTAACAAAAAATAAATCAAATTTTTGAAAAGGTTACAACAATGAACACTCTATGTTCCAATAGGGAAGCAGTACATTTATATAACATAGACGGGCTCACCGACAGAGTGGACAGAGTACATCACATTGCAACATTGGTACGGGTTATTTTAGGGGTACCGGGTATACCGGACTCCTGGGGGGCGGGCAGGGCACGTTTGCACAGTTTTGTTGTTTTGTATTTTTTTTTTAACTTTAACATGAAATACCATCATCATCGTTCTGTTTTGCCGTCGAAACAAACAATTAAGCACCAGTCGTACAGTAATAATTGTGTAGTGTCCTGCATACGCTACGTATAGTCTTAACGTGTTAGTGACCGACTAAAATAACAAGTGATTCTCTTTTTTTAATAATTATAAATTATATAAGTATAAGTATATAATATGCTCTCTATTCAATCTAAAAACATTTATATATATATATACATATACACACACACATACATACATATATATGTATATATACTATATATAAAAAAGACACTAATAATTACAAGAAAAATAAAATAATAATAATAATAATAATGGCACTAGTATGTTGTGTTCCTTTTTTTTTTCGAAACCGACATTGACTTGGAACCACGCGCAAAAACCATTCACTCTCTCATCATTCTAGTAAAGGGAACAAAATCTAAGATAATTCATCGTGTTTTTTTTTCTTCTTTCGTTTTTCCCTTCCTTTCTCCCTCGTGCGAACGAAGTTGAAGTAAATAAGAAGTATTGACCGAAAATCAAATTTTTTTTAAAAAAAAAAAGAGAAAAGAAAATAAAACAAAACAAAAATTACAATAACGACTAAATTGTAGAAACGAAAAGTTGAATGAATTGTCGAAAAAACGAATGGTCAAATTGTCTTTCTCTCTGTTCCTGCTCTCGTGTTCGCATTCTGAAAAAATTGTCTCTCTCTCTCCCGCTTTTGCAAAAAAATATATATGACTATTTAGAGTTTTGTTTTACGATTAACTTCTTTGCGTTACTCTTTATGGTTTTTGTTTG